GCTCTTTGTTCCGAAACTGTATGTACAACCCTGTATAAGGAGTAAGATAGTTTGTGTCACAAGCTTCCCAAGGAAGAGTTTGGAAAACTGATACGACTAAGTTGTCATCTTTATGAGAACCTTGTTACAGAATTTTGCACAGAAATCGCGCTGTCTTTGTGGTTTTGAGGTTTTTCGGTTTTCTATCCGTGTTAGGGCGAATATCTTATTGGAGAGATGTGGCGTTATGATGAGGATTCACAATTTTTCAGTTACGTTAGAGGGAAAGCGTGTTATGAGAATCCATGACTTGACATCCTCCTGACTTGACGGCAATATAGGCTGTCCCAAAATTCACGCAAGATTTGAATTTTGCGCCATTTATGTGGTTAAGTATTGTCAAGGAGGAAAAGAATACAGGGTGATAGCTAACAATTCAGGGTTATTAAAAATGTGCCATATTCGGAAGAACAATGTGTCTTCATTGTTATACTTACGTAGCAATATTTACAATTTTTAATTAAAAACCTGTGTTTTGTACCAAAATTATTTCTTACGTGAATTTTGGGATAACACTCAATAAATATACTCCTAAAATCAACCCCTAAAGTACACCACCGATTAATAAGAAACGAAAGAAAGATATAGAACGAGAGTATTACTGTGCCCAATAATTATTACTCACAGTTAAATGAAGGAAGAGCTATCGTTCTTCGTGGCACTATACGACAAGAATTTTTGAAAACCACTGGCACTAAAATTAGTAAGAAATTTTCCTCTTTAAATAAAATAAGGGGACCTTCCTCTCCACGATCTCCTTCTCCCGATACACCAAGACGGATTGCCGGGCAGGAAAGGAAGAAAGTCTGCACCAGGTCCATTTACAACGAACGAAGCCGAACCCTATCGCTGGCCATCGAACGGAAACTTCGATTAACCTCCACCCCCGGCGAGCGATCAGACGCAGACATCGTAGCGATACCACGCAGCTGGGGCCACCGAATCGACAGCTAACCACCGAATCCCGACATATCTGCGGGACAGGCGGATAATCGCGAGCGAATATACAGGGGAGGAAGGGAAAACGACCATTGACAGATATCTGCGAAACGGGACCGGACCTTAATCAACCTGGTGGCTATCTCCTACGAAAATCCACGGTCGGAAAATTCGTAGCTTCTGCTTTGAAAATCCACGGTTGAAAAATTCTTGGTCCCCTCCCAGAAAATTCGTGCCTCTCTCCTTCAAAAATACACGATTAGAAAAATCGTGACCCCTTTCTTCGAAAATCCATAGTCAGAAAATTCGTGACCCCCTCCTACGAAAATCCACGGTCGGAAAATTCGTAGCTTCAGCTTTGAAAACCCAGGGTCGGAAAATTCTTGGTCCCCTCCCAGAAAATTAGTGCCTCTCTCCTTCAAAAATACACGATTAGAAAAATCGTGACCCCTTTCTTCGAAAATCCATAGTCAGAAAATTCGTGACCCCCTCCTACGAAAATCCACGGTCGGAAAATTCGTAGCTTCTGCTTTGAAAAACGGTTGAAAAATTCTTGGTCCCCTCCCAGAAAATTCGTGCCTCTCTCCTTCAAAAATACACGATTAGAAAAATCGTGACCCCTTTCTTCGAAAATCCATAGTCAGAAAATTCGTGACCCCCTCCTACGAAAATCCACGGTCGGAAAATTCGTAGCTTCTGCTTTGAAAATCCACGGTTGAAAAATTCTTGGTCCCCTCCCAGAAAATTAGTGCCTCTCTCCTTCAAAAATACACGATTAGAAAAATCGTGGACTCCTCCTTCGAAAATCTACGATTGGAAAATTCGTGGCTTTCTTCTTCGACAATCTACGGTCGGAAAATTCGTAGCCCTCTCCTTTGAAAATCCATGGTCGGAAAATTCGTGACCCTCTCCTTTAAAAATCCACGATTGGAAAATTCGTGGCTCTCTGCTTTGAAAAACTACGGTTAGAAAATTCGTGACCCCTTTCTTCGAAAATCCATGGTCGGAAAATTCGTGACCCCCTCCTACGAAAATCCACGGTCGGAAAATTCGTAGCTTCAGCTTTGAAAATCCAGGGTCGGAAAATTCTTGGTCCCCTCCCAGAAAATTCGTGGCCCTCTCCTTCAAAAATACACGATTAGAAAAATCGTGGACTCCTCCTTCGAAAATCTATAATTGGAAAATTCGTAGTCCTCTCCTTTGAAAATCCATGGTCGGAAAATTCGTGGCCTTCTCCTTCGAAAATATACGTTTGGAAAATTTGTGGCCCTCTCCTTTGAAAATCCACGGTTAGAAAAATCGTGACCCCTTTCTTCGAAAATCCATGGTCGGAAAATTCGTGACCCCTTCCTTCGAATATCCACGATTGGAAAATTCGTGGCCTTCTCCTTCGAAAATCTACGTTTGGAAAATTTGTGGCCCTCTCCTTTGAAAATCCACGATTGGAAAATTCGTGGCTCCCTGCTTTGAAAATCCACGGTTAGAAAATTCGTGACTCCTTTCTTCGAAAATCCATGGTCGGAAAATTCGTGACCCCTTCCTTCGAATATCCACGATTGGAAAATTCGTGGCCTTCACCTTCGAAAATCTACGTTTGGAAAATTTGTGGCCCTCTCCTTTGAAAATCCACGATTGGAAAAATCGTGGCCCTTTCCTTTGAAAGTCCACGATTGGAAAATTCGTGGCGCTATCCTTTGAAAGTCCACGATTGGGAAAGTTGTGGTCCTCTCCTTTGAAAGTCCACGATTGGAAAATTCGTGGCCCTATCCTTCGAAAATCCACGATCGGAAAATTCGTGGAAAGGGAAAATTCGGCCGTTTGGCGAGGCCGCGTGCGATAGATCGATCGCGGCTGTGTATCGAGAGGAAGGCGATACGGGATGCGAGAGTACGCGGCCAAGGGAGAAACGGGGGCGCGAAAGAGAGGGAGGAGGCACCGGCGGAGGCGTCGATGGCTAATAATAAAAGGGAAGGAATATTTCCTGTACGAGCTGGAAACGCGTCAGCGGGACAACGGGACCGGTGGCTGGAGCAAGAGCGATGGGAGACAGTGATAAAACCGATACGGATGGAACTCCGGAAAATTGATGGAAACAAAAGCCGACGGGGAGGGTCTCCGATGTGTATACTCGTATCGCGACGGGAAATCTCGAGCGTGCAGCGTTTACTGGATTTATCGCGCGCGGGGCCCGCAGTGGTAAGAAGAACGTTTCAGGGAACAATTTTTCCTCCATTTCGAAGAATATCCTTCACAGTCTCGAGCGATGGTGAAGGATACTCGCGGAACGAGAAACCTTCGCGTAATTAAGCACGCGTGGATTAAAAGAGAACAACAGGGATGACGTGAAATAATTTATAATTAAAAGAAAAAGGGAAGAAAAAATATTGGAGAATTTAATTTCGTGTATTCTTTGTAACTATTCCAATATAAAAATTCTGTTATTTAGAACTGCAATTGGCACCACGAATAGAGACGTCGAAACATTAAAATAATAATATAATAAAGCGAGATGAGTTTATATTATCATCTTCCCTTTCGTATAAAAATTACCCTGAATTTTGTCAGATGTGGCTATATCGATATCTTCGGAAGTTCAAAAATCGAAATATCTTGAACCACTCCTCTCCATCCATGTGTTACCACCGGTATTAAAATTATTCCGAGAATAGGGTGAAAAATTGTGCGGATGTAGGTACTTTCGCACATCTCACCACCCCTAAGAAAGGCTTCTGGATCCGCCCCTGAACTCACGTCCGAACACGTAATGAGGTGATAGATATAAAGGCCGCAGTGAGAAAAGGGGTGTGAAAATGTAAGCGGGAAACAAGTGGAGGTTATAGGTGCGGTAGATGATGAACGCGTAAAACGTGGAGAAACGGGAAAAACGGGGAAACCGAGGGGGTGGCGGGGGGTGGACGTGTGCCACTTGACTTTGGGCCGCGAGTAACTCGTGGCCAGGCGGAAGTGGCCTAGACGAAGACAAAGAATGGCGCCAGAGGAGCAGGGACGATTTTCGCGAGACTATTTTCGCGGCGCGAGGACCGCGGGGGTGGTTTTCGCTAAGGGTAGTAAAGCCTCGCGCCGATATTAGGAAATCGAGCGCGCAGCTAAGCGGAAATCGAACGCACGTGATCGTTACGAGTGGAATTCTCCTTTCCTCTATCTCCCTTTCTCCTTCTCTTCTCTCCTTTTCAAAAGAATCGCGCGACGAAGCTTCCCAGCGCTTTTTCCTCGCACACGGTGTGTAACTCGGTTGTAACCGTGCTTTTTGCGGGACACTTGTAGATTTATACGCGCCGCGACGGAAACGTGCACGAAAACGCGGTGTCGGCTTTATAAATATTTTCGAAGCAACGGCAGCTTATCGATCTCGCGTTGGAGCGTGATGCAAGCTTTTGCATAGCGTGTGCTTTCGACCGAGGGGAACGTGGCTTCGAGAATATCATTTCTCAACTTGGGATTGGGATCCGTGAATCCGATGGCACCCGAATAATACACTGGAAATCGTTATCGTCGAAGTAACAATCTAAAAACCAACTTAGAATCTATCTCTTAAGATACGAAACTTCCTGTTAGTCACGCTTAGGAAAAGACGAACAGATTCGGAAGAGTCTTCAATTGCATATCGAACTCACGAGAGATCATTCGACTAACTCGACGTAGTCAGACTCCCGTTTATCTATCTATCACGACAAGCAAAACCAATCGAAAACCAAGAATCACTTGCGAGTGTACTCAAACTCCTGCGACACATGTCGAATCGAGGAAGAACCAACCAAGGACTCGTCCAAGACCCCGTTCTCGCGCCCCGACGGAACAAACCGACGCGAGAGCGCGAAAGCTAGCACCGTCCAGCCAGAGTGGACCGAAATGCTCGCGAGGGTACCCCTGTCGCGAGGTCCTCTAGCTATCTCGCGCCGCGGCGGAGCGTGCTGCCCTCGAGATAGGGCCCGCTCGGCTCGGGACAGCTCGCTGTCCTTGAATCTGTGCGTTCCGGACGACGCGCGTGTCTGAAGACTCACGTTTCTTCTCATCTCGCGTTGAATCCAGGGCCGTGCTCACGTGCGGCTGTCCGATGGTGGTCGCACGGTCGTTGCACCGTCGGGCCTCGTTGCGGCAGCAGCCTCGGGAACAGCGACGATAACGACGTGGACGAGGTCGAGGGTGGCGGCAACGACGACGAAGACGACGGCGAAGACGACGATCGACCGCGACGATGTCGATACGAGACGAACGACGCGCGTAACGACACGGAATGGCGAGCACTCGGTGCAATCGCGAAGCACACGCGAGCGACGAGCATCGCCCCAGCTCGGCACCAAGCTCACGACTGCCTCTCGACCGAGGGCTTAGCTGGGGGTTGCTTCGACTCCGGTTCACCGGTTCAATCGGTGGCTGGGGGTGGCCTCGGAGGGGTAGAGGCGTTAGAACCCGCACGTACGCCGCCTGGAGGCTACCACCAGAACCACTCACACCTACCAGGGCGCAAGCTCCGCGTCACCAGCGCAGCGGTCAGGGGTGAGCGAAGGTTTCGCGCGGGTGTAGAACCGACTCGTCCAGGGTTGCGGGTGTACTATCTATTTCAGAAATTTCGTCCCGCTACTTGGTAATCTACGAATGTCGACATTATCGAGTACAGTGGACCAACTGTTCAAATTTCTAGCCACTTTGACGAAATAAATTTCCAAAATGTGTTGTATATTCTATGGAGCTCGATGGAGAACCTACTTGTCCAGGGTTACGAATGTACTATCCATTTCAGAAATTTCATCCCCCTACTTAGTGAGCCACGAATGTCGCCAGTATCGAGTACGGTGGACCAACTGTCAAAAATTCTAGTGACTTTGAATAAATAAATTTCCAAAATGTGTTGTATATTCTATGGAGCTCGATGTAGAACCTACTTGTCCAGAGTTGCGAATGTACTATTTATTTCATAAATTTCGTCCCTCTACTTGGTGATCCACGAATGTCGACATTATCGAATGCAGTGGACCAACTGTTAATAGTTCTAGCCACTTTGACGAAATAAATTTCCAAAATGTGTTGTATATTCTATGGAGCTCGATGGAGAACCTACTTGTCCAGGGTTACGAATGTACTATCCATTTCAGAAATTTCATCCCCCTACTTAGTGAGCCACGAATGTCGCCAGTATCGAGTACGGTGGACCAACTGTCAAAAGTTATGGTGACTTTGAATAAATAAATTTCCAAAATGTATTGTATAATCTATGGAGCTTGATGTAGAACCTACTTATCTAGGGTTACGAATGTACTATCAGTTTCAGAAATTTTGTCCCGCTACTTGGTGATGCACGAATTTCGCCAGTATGAAGTACGGTGGACCAAATGTCAAAAATTGTAGTCACTTTGAATAAATAAATTTCCAAAATGTATTGTTTAATCTATGGAGCTCGGTGTAGAACCTATTTCTCCAGAGTTGCGGGTGTACTATCTATTTCAGAAATTTCATCCCCCTATTCGGTGATTCACGAATGTCGCCATTATCGAGTACAGTGGACCAACTGTCAAAAGTCCTAATCATTTTAACTAAATAAATTTCCAAGATGTATATTGTATGGAGCTCAGTGTAGAATCCACTCGATCAGGGTTGCTGGTGTACTATCTATTTCAGAAATTTCGTCCCTTTACTTGGCAATCCACTAATGTCGTCAGTATCGAGTCCGGTGGACCAACTATCAAAAGTTCTAACCACTTTGACTGAATAAATTTCCAAAATGTGTTGTATATTCTATGGAGCTAGATGTAGAACCTACTTATCCAGGGTTGCGAGTGTACTATGTATTTTAGAAATTTGGTCCCTCTACTTAGTGATCCACGAATGTTGCCAGTATCGAGTACGGTGGACTAACTGTCAAAAGTCCTAGCTACTTTATCTAAATAAATTTCCAAAATGTATATTCTATGGAGCTCGATGCAGAACCTACTTATCCAGGGTTGCGAGTGTACTATGTATTTTAGAAATTTCATCCCTCTACTTGGTGATCCACAAATATGGCCATTATCGAATACAATGGACTAACTGTCAAAAGATCTAGTCTTCTAGCCACTTTGTCTCAATAAATTTCCAAAATGTATATTCTATGGTGCTCGATGTAGAACCGACTCGATCATGATTTCGAGTGTACTATCTATCTCAAAAATTTCGTCCCTTGTACTCCATTATACAGCATAACGGAGCGACTATCGAAAGCCCTCGGTTGTATAGTCCGGTCTACGAAATAACGTGATTTTGAAAATAAATTCCCTAAATATATATTCTATGGAGCTCGCGAAATATAATTATAGGGCAAACACGCGAAGGGTTGGAGGTGTACTATCTATTTCAGAAATTTCATCTCCCCACTGGGCGATCCATCGACGTTGATGCATCGATATTCCGCATTATCGAGTATGACGGAGTGGCTGTCGAAAGTTCCTGATCGTAATCCTTCGTTCGACGAAACGATTTTTCGAAATAAACCGTGCTTATAAAATGTTTCGGGAATTTCGTTAGCTCGGGCTTCAAAGAGGAATGAAAATACGCGAACGAATGGAATTGATTCTAATGGGTTAGGGTATTTTTAGACTCACCGGCTTTTAATTAATATTCCATTGAGCAGCGATGTATGGAGATTATTATATGATAGAACGAATTGTTCGACATGTCTGAACGTGGGCGTAGTTGGGAGGGGGCGGAAAACGTGTATTCGTGATTTCGATAATTTCAAAGAAGACAGAGGAGGGAACAAAGCCTACTACGAAGAGAAATATACAGGGTGGTCCTAATAACTGGACTGGACTATAGTTCCCTTACAGATAAATCTAATCGTAAATAAAAATCGCTGTTTTTACAAAATACAACACGTTCCCTATTAACCCTTTGCACTCGAGAGGTGCCCTTCTGTCACCATTTGATAAAATTTCGAAGTTCGAAATTAATTATCGCATCAAATTTAAAATAATGTAACAGTGTGCAAGGTATTACGAAATTAAATAATTCTAAGTGTTAATTAGTATACAATTTCTCATTTACTACTCAGCAAATATTACTAGCTTTACAGCAGAAAAATTTTTCATCTCGTACTCTTCTTTAGCCAAAAAATCGTCGAGTGCAAAGGGTTAAAATCTCATCTTCACCAAATTTCTCCAAATTTCGAGGAACCTAATATACATAAAAAGGAAAATAATTTTTTTCACGTTTCACCTGGCCCAGTTACTAAACTCGCTCTGTATATGTGTATACATATACACACACGTTTAATGGAACCCGCGACTCGACCGGAATACCCATTTCTACGCAGTCACCGTTAATTCAGCGACGCAGTAGAAACTGCCGATCATGGCCAGACACGCGATTCCGGCATTAACTCTCTAAATTAAAACTGCCATGCTGAAACGGATGCGGGACGAACAACTGGGAAAGTACACGAGTAAACGATACTTTCGCGATCAAGACACTTTTTCAACCATAAATATACTTTCTTGTACGCTAAGCGCAAGCCACGCGCTTATCTCGTTACGACGCTTGCACGCTCGTTCCTAGAAACAGTGTCAACCGCTCGAGTACCCCTGGATGTGGATCAAACAGAAGGAAACCGAGTCGAAGCAAAGTTCCGAGACTTCGACATGGCAGATTCTCAAAATACAATTACATTGATCGCTAATTCGCGACATGGTACGTCCAAAAACTCGAAATTAATGGGACCTCAGGAGGACAGGCGTTCTCCATGACGTTCCAAGATGGAACGTTCATAATTGTGACAATTGCGACACGACACACGTGGCAAGAAATGGGAAACCGATTCACAGGACGAATCGAGGAAATATCGGTATCCAAGAATAAATTCCTCCACCCAAAAATCCGAGATTACTGGGACCTCAGGGCACAGGCGTTCTCCATGACGTTCCAAGATGGAACGCTCATAATTGTGACAATTGCGACGTGACACACGTGGAAAGAAACGGAAAACGAATGCACAGGTGGAATCGAGGAAATATCGGTATCCAAGAATAAATTCCACCACCCAAAAATCCGAGAATATTGGGACTTTAGGGGACAGGCGTTCTCCATGACGTCCCAGGATGCAACGCTCAAAATTCTGTCAATTGCGACGCGACACACGTGGCAAGAAATAGGAAACCGATTCACAGAACGAATCCAGGCAATATTGGTATCTAAGAATAAATTCCTCCACCAAAAAATTCGAAATTAATGGGTCCTCGGGAGGACAGGTGTTCTTCGTGACGTCCCAGGATGCAACGCTCAAAATACGGCACACGTGACAGGAAACGGAAAACCAATGCACAAATGAAATCGAGGAAATATCGGTATCCACGAATGTATTCCACCACCAAAAAACCCAAAATTAATGTGACCTCAGAGTAACGCTCACGACGACAGGCCTTCCCCGTCACATCTCAGGATAAAACATAATCGCTCGTAATCGTGACAATCGCGACGTCGCACATTTCTTCTTGGCAAGAAATGTAAAACCGATTCACAGGACGAATCCAGGCAACATCGGTACTCGCAAAGGAATTCCTCCACTTCGGCGTTGCGTTAGAAACGCGAACCTTGAGCCAATTCGGCGCGATATTAGGCACGCGTGGCCAACAGCTCGAGGGAGCTCGCCCTTATCGCATCGATCGTGCCGAAGAATAGAAACGGGCTGGATCGGCCTTCCCATTTGAATGATCGTGCGCCGTTGGTCGAAACTATTAGCGCCCGTTCCATCCCCCTACCGTTTGTTTCCTTTGCTAAATGCGAATGGGGAACACCTACCTGCACGTTCTACCGCGGTGTCGGTGTACTCGCACCCTCGTGGAAGGGATCAACAGGTTCGCGTGCCGGATGTGCTGGCATACCGGAAGTCATCAGCGAGGCCGCACGACGTGGTTTTCCACGGTCTCGCACGGTAACGATCTGACCATCCTCTCTCTGTCTCGCACCGGCCGAGATACACGGTCGTAAAGGTTCGTTCTCGGCATGGTGGATAAGCATCGACGGGGCGGGGATCGATGCCGGAATTTCTAGGATTTTCTATGGGATAAGAAAACAGAGATTGGAATGTAACGGTTGATTAGAGACATGGGAGACGGTAAAAGAGAATTGGACTGTGAGAACTGTTCGCGGGATGAAAAGGCTGAATAAAATTGTAGGCCCATCTATTCTCACTTTTATCGACTCGCATTACACATAAGTTGCGGGAATTTCAATAAAGAATTGACGCGTACACGAACAGATATAGCTAGTTAGAGACGATCCGGGGAAATTAGGGTCGATAAGAGGTAAGTACAAAATTGCCTAAGCTAAACGATGCATCGGGGATCGAGACGCGACGACGCTCGTGTTCGCGAGGGGCGCCGGCTCGCCTTGATCCCGCGGTTATTGTTCTTCTGTGCTTTGTTTTCCCTTGTTCTATTACGAAATGCATGCAGGTCCTTGTAAAAATATATCAACTTACGTTCACACGCGTTCTAATGTGCCCCAGCTTCGATATCGGAACGAGTATTCGATATTCATTCGCTTCAAACGTTTATGCATGTACTCGATTTCGGTTTTATGATATTTCGTGATTAGTGCCAAAGCCGAAATGAGGAATTCCAATATCACAGAATTGAATTTCTTTGTTCCTCGCATCTCTGTCACGGATGCGGGGCAAGAAAAATGAATCACGGAATGGACGAATGGTTGCTTGAACAATTTTAGACCTCTTTCTTTTCCTTTTCTTTTCTTCCTTTTTTTTTTCTTTTTTTTTGGTTTTTCTTAATTTCATTTTAATCGCGATGCAGCAAAAAGTAATTGACAATATGTTTCATTGGGTCCACTTGATTCCCGCGGCCGATCGACTGCTCTCGAAGCCACACTACGAAACTAAGGTTATGTACAAAATCACAATGTTCCTCCCGCGGATACGTATTACACGCTCGTCGCGATACTCTTCGCCGTAATCTCTTGGAATCCGCCATAGATTTCTTGTATAAATTACACGTGACTACACACGAATGCTACGCGCACCTTGCAAGCTACCTCTTTCTCGTTTGTCTTTGTTCGTTTCGCGTGTGCGCCGATAGGAGACCTAAATGACTTCTGCTAAATATACCTAAAACTACATTAGTCCGCGAAACGCGCAATTAACGCTAATGTCATATTCGAGTACCGTGTAGGCGGGTAACGTCGTGTTAACATAAATATGCGATGGACGAGTGACGACGATATAAAAAAAGAGAAGTCGATAGCAAAGACTCGATTCAACTGTGTTCGATTCGGTGCATCGCTGTTGACGCGTCTTTCGCAACTATCACTTTAAACAGACCTGGGCGGTGTAACGAACATTGGTAGGTACTGTCATGGGTAAGAAGTAAGGGAGACGACGATGAACGCATCGTCGCAAACCTAATGAGATTCTTTCAGTTTCTCAGCCGTACAACAGTTCTTCGCGATCCTCTCGCGTGGAAATGCGCGCGAAGAATAAATAAATCTCGTCTAAACGTTTCAGCGTGATATCGCTGCGAATGTTCCACCCGATCTCGACGCAACATGGCGAAATGTTAATTACCAAGTATACTATCTTCTCAGCGTTCGACACTACCGCTTGTGACTCGTCTTGCTCTTAGGGCTCTCCGTAGCGCTATCGTTAGGCTCTCTTCTAGGTCGTAGAATGAAGTTCAGATTGTGCGCGGTATTTACGGCGTAGTAAACATTCGCCGAGTTTGGCAATACCATCTCGCGATCAGGGAGTACCTGAGCCAACGTGTACTGATCAGGACTGCCCTCTATCCCCAGTTTAAGCATCGCGTTGCGTATCACTTGTGGCGTCCTCTCGTTGTTCGACAGCATGATCGACTTGTACAGCACTACTCCCTCCGTCTCAACGTTGTCGCTCTCCATGGTGACCTTGATTATGTAAAAATCTGGCGAACTCTTGTGCGAATGACTCGGACTGGACAAGCCAACGATATTAGGGCTATTTCCGTTAGCGGTGATGGCAGTTGGCGGTGCTAATCGGTTGTGCTGATTCCCCGTTGCTCCACTTCCTCCGCCGGAACTCAGAGACACGTCCAAGGATGGCAAAGACGAGCTGGAGGAAGAACTAGACATCTGAGACGGCGATGTGCGTCGATCGAGAGAGTTGTGCGGCGAGCTGGGTAGAGAATCTAGGTCGCAATAAAACTGGGAGCTGCTCGAACTCGATGTAGAGGCTATCGAGTCGTTTTTACGATGACCCTGATGACTCTGCAAGATAAGTCTGGGCTCAGGCTTCTCGCGAGAAACAGGTGATCGGGAACGGGTTCGTATTAACGAGATCAGGGAGAGCATGCTGACCTGCTTCTTCTTGCCGCGATTGCTAAGAGTGTTTCCTGGAGGTGGCGGCTCGATCTGACAGCTGAGTTTGTATGCTTCTCGATCATCCAGCACCACCACGGAGTGGAACCAACGATCGAACAACGAATCTGTGCTGAAGTTGTACGCGTTAGCGGCGCCTTGAAGCAATCTTATCCTAGCGAGGACCTCGAATTCTTTTCGCCTCTTGTCAAAGTTGATTAAACCCTCGGCTATCGTATCCGGTATCGCGGTGTCTATCATAGTGAGATCCGTGAGGAAAGTTCCTAGATACGGTATCGTCCCGTAGCTGATATTCTAAAGAAGAAAGAAACCAGAGTAGTAATTTTTGCCTCGTCTTAATCCATCGATACGATAAAACGATAATTACACTTACGCCCGCATGAGTATTTTGCTTCTGGAACAATTTCTGCAAGTGCCTATCGCTTCTCCCGGCAGTGTCCGCAAACTTGGCCGTACCCTCCTTAATTAAAAGCTCTCGCTGTGTCCACGCGTTGTTCTCCTCCGAGAAGATTCTCTCCAGTTCCCTGAATAGCTCGTGCTTCTCCCTGGGCATACACTGCCAGCACTTCTCCAACCTATACACGGGGTTACTCTGTAGACCGGACACGATAGCCTTCAGGCTACTAAAATTCTTCAGCACGCGTAGCTCTTGAGCAATGTCAATCCACGTCTCGAGGATCCTCGCTCGCTCTTGAGGCTTCGTTGTCGGATCCATCAGTATCGTGGATATGACTCGAAGCGAAACAGCGTTGAACTGATTCACGGTCGCCAAAACGGTGGCTGCGTCGTGACTCCTCGAACGATCCCTTCTAGACCAGACAGCGCCTAGACACTGGTGGGCCACGAGCTTCTTGAACACCTCGGCGTCCATCCGGGTCAACTGCTCGGCGAAATGTCGATGCGGAACTTCCGGGAAACTGTAGTTCGCCCAATGATCCATGATAGGATCTGGGGAACCGCGTGGTAGTCGACCATTGTCGTATACCATGCACGAATCTGGAAAAAGGATAACGTATGTAGGCCAAACTCTTACGAATCTAATGACAATGAAAACGGAATAAATTGAACGTATATGTCGGTTCTTTGAACGATACTTCTTCGAACCGTTAATGAATCAAACAAACGGGGCGTAATGAGCTATATCACGTATCTGGAGAAACACCAAATTGCGATAGGCGGTATGATAAATACGCAGCTGACGCGTAATGTCACGGAACTGACGAATGAAATGCGTCATACGGTACACGTGTTGCTATGACACAATGCTGCTATATCGTTGGACGAGAACTATTCAGGAAGTTCAAAAGGACCAGTTACTGTACCCAAGTTATTATATTTTTAATTTGGAAACGAAGAAGTATATACAAAGTGTGTCATCGGTATTGAACGAAGCACAGATAAATCTGCTTACCTATCTGATCTTCACGCTGAAACCTGTGCAACCGATGCCTTGCCTTGAGCTCGAGTTCCGAGCCTGGAAGCCGCCGATGCGTGAAATCCAAGAGTCTACTGAGCAGCGGATGACTCGGAGGCGACTTCCAATCGCCGGGATAGGCGTCCAACCAGACGTGAAGAGCCTGCACCAGTGTCTTCCGATGCTGTTCACCTGTCAGGGCTCCGGATCCTTCGTCGAGGGCATCGTACCTCGCCAACAATAGCTCCAGCACTTCTCGCGGGGTCGTGAATGCACGATATGTCGCCAAAAAGACATTGATGTACGTAGACTCGAGTTCCCCATCGTCGTTCGCCAGGCTCTCCACCAAACGTTGCACCGTGCCCGCTTTCAGGAAACGCACTCTCACCGTCTCCCATTCCAAGTGAGAAATCTCGTCGTCCGAATCCTGCGGAGGGAAAATTTCTTAAATTACTATGTTGAAAATTTCTTAAATTAGTACAATGAAAATTCGTAAATCCGTGGACTAAGGCTTGGAAAATTCAATAACCCGATAGTAAGAGGAGTCGAATATTAAAGAAGTTTGCAAATTTGCAACTTTGAAAATTTCAAAATAACCAAAATTCGGAAATTTGCAACTTTGAACATTTCAAAATAACCAAAATTTGGAAATTCGCAAATTTGCAACGTTGAAAATTTCAAAATAACCAAAATTTGGAAATTTGGAAATCTGGAAATTTGGAAATTTGGGAATTTAGAAGTTTGGAAATCTAGAAATTGGGGAATTTGGAAATTTGTGAATTTGGAAATTTGGAAATTTCAAAAATCAGAAATTCGGAAATTAGAAATTCGGAAAGCTATGAAATAGATGATTTCTTACCGATGCAGAGAGACTCCTGGTCGGCCTGTGATAGCGGACCTTCTTCAGGTACACCGTGTATATAACGCCATCGCCCCTTTCCTCGCCCCATAAACGCCACGTGGGCTGTAAAGTAAAAGCAAATGGGAAAAGTTAGGGCAAGAAAGAGGCAGACATGCGACGGGGGATCTGTGAGGACGGCAACACAACGGGCCACGCGGCAAAAGCGCCGGGGGTTGATTTACGCTACTAATTTCACGAGCTACCCCCTGTCATGCGCAACCATCTCTCTAATGGGGACGAGCTAATCAATGGACGTCGTGCACTCGGCAGATTTATCGAAATAATTGACTTCCAACTCGAAATTGACCTCGGCCGTCCATTTCACGGCTTGAATCGCGATTAACCGGATGAAACGCTTTATCCTCGCGGTCTGACCATCATCCCTTCTCTTCCCGTCAGTTGCCTTGTATCGAGTTACAAAAGTTAATCGTCCGAATAATTTTCTCTCGTCGTTTTGTCCTTTTTTCCTAAACAATTGGCGAGGCTGAATCAACTACAGCGCGAATTAACGTAAAACGTACAGATTTGCGTACAGATGAGAAGATTTATGTCGCGACTTATTGTTAATCGCTTCCTCTCAATTTATCATGGCCGATCGTAACGATCGCGCCTTTCATACAAAGTTTATAATAAAAATGAAGAAATCGACAAATTTTGCATTACCACAAAAGAAAAATAATTATAAACGAAATCTATGGAAGTGCGTTTATAAAAAATCTATAAATTACCAAAATTATTGTTAATAACAAATTGTTTACAACGTAAGTTTATAATAACAGTAGAAAAATTAAAGAGTTACTAGTTATTACGTGAACTTACGACGAATTCATATGAAAATATATCTACAATTTACAAAAATGTCTATAAATTATTACACCAATTGTTAATAACAAATTAATATTGTCAATAATAAATTGTTCGCAATGTAAATTTCTAATAAAAGTGAAAAAATTTATAAATTATTGGCTATAACATGACTTTGATAACGCACTTTTGTCAAAATGTAGCAATAATTTGCAAAAATGTTTATAACTTATTACACCGATTGTTAATAACAAATTAATATTGTTAATAACAAATTGCTCGCGATATAAATTTATGGTAAAAGTAAAAAAAATTAATAAATTATTGGCTATGAGAGCGGAACTTTAATAATTACTAAAATCCGCGAAGTTCGAAAATTTCCGATCGGGGTGGGGATTCGGCCGATCGGCGGCTATATAAAGGGCGACGCGACGCAGCATAACTTATTTGCCGGTTTGGCATCGGGAGTGTAACATATAACTATTTTCGTGTGCGGGAACGGGGGAGAGGTCCGAGTGAGGTTGGGGCTGGCCACCCCACCCACACCTCACCCCTTAAACAATTTACTAATAATTTTTCTTATTTTCAGCTAACATTTGCCGGTTTAGCATCGGGAGTGTAACATATAACTATTTTCGTGTGCGGGAACGGGGAAGAGGTCCGAGTGAGGTTGGGGCTGGCCACCCCACCCACCCCTCACCCCTTAAACAATTTACTAATAATTTTTCTTATTTTCAGCTATTAATTATTTTTTATTTTTTCAGGTATTAATTATTTCTTTTTATTTCAGATGTTATTCTTTGTTTATTCTTATTTATATTCGAACATTCGAATATTTCGTATAATATTCGAATGTTTCGTATTCATCGTTGGTTTCTTTATCTCTCATCATTGGGTTATTTGTATCTCATTTTTGGGTTGTTCATCTCTCATCTTTGGGTTATTAATAATTTTCTATTTCAGGTCTAATCTATTTTTCTTTCAGGTCTTAATTATTTTTTTTCTTTTCAGATTTTAATAATTCACTTTCATATTTATTCGAATATTTCGTATAATATTCGAATGTTTCATCGTCGGTTTCTTTATCTCTCATCATTGGGTTATTTGTATCTCATTTTTGGGTTGTTCATCTCTCATTTTTGGGTTGTTCATCTCTCATCTTTGGGTTATTAATAATTTTCTATTTCAGGTCTAATCTATTTTTCTTTCAGGTCTTAATTATTTTTTTTCTTTTCAGATTTTAATAATTCTCTTTCATATTTATTCGAATATTTCGTATAATATTCGAATGTTTTGTCATTGGGTTATTTCTGTCTTGCTCCTTCCACATTGTTAACCTTCATGGTTTCTATTCGTTCGTTTTCTTTCCTCGTACTAATCCGTTTCCTTCCAGGTTTATATTGACAATAATATATTCTGTTTTAGCTTGTAGGGTTTTTAAGATTCTCAAGTTTTCTCGAGACTTCATTTGGGGCATATGAATGGACCACGCGGCATTTAGACTTAAGTAATAATAAGATAGACGCCTAGACTAAGTAACATGTGCGTGCTATCTGTACAAAGGTAAGCTACCTAACTTGGAGCGAATATATCCCTTTGATATTTTTCCTCTTTTATCCCTGTCGTTTACCAGATAGAACATAATTGTTCTCGCGATAATCGCGATTGTTCTTAAGTACCGACTAGCCTGCGCGACGTACTCTCGTGTACTCGGCAACTTTGCGTCTCATAAGTCATCCTCACGATTCGTCTCCGACACTCATTTCCAGCCACTGTCAATCCCGTCATGCATCGGGTTCCAGGGTGGCCCTCGGGTCACTGTTTCTACTGGAATCGATGCGGGGGCCCAGCGCCCCGGTCGTTCGCGACTGGGGTATGGGCCTGCAGTTGGACGGGCATAGTGTCTACGGTCAGACCACTTGGGATGATTAATTTCTACCCCTTGGGGCAGGGACACGAAGTGTCTGTCTGGCTTGCAAGGCCCCGCTGGACCCTCGCATCGACTCTGGGAGTTTCATCGGTTCGGGGACTATCCTTGGTTCAAGTGTAAGTCATGACGAGAACGGCAGTGACTGGACTTAGACTAGGCCCGATCGGGAGGGTGCCGAGGTACGAAGTTGTCTTGTACACGGGAATACGTCTCGTATGCTAGTCGGTCTTTCGAATAATCGCGAATTCGTTCGGGCGCGTCGCTATTTTTCACTTGCTCGCGTCTTTCATTCCCTATTTTTATGGGAACTTAGAAATATTAGAGTCTATTGAAATAAATTATCTTAGCGTTGCGACAGTAGAGTATTAGTATACCGAATCGAAGTCCCTTTTGTAAGACACGATATTTAATAAAGTGTCAGTAGCTTCACTTTAACTTAGTTCGCTCCAAGTTAGGTTAGGCTACCTTTGACACAGGTAGCACCAGTAGGCTGCGCCACTAGGGTGCATGTCGGGTCTCGATGCGTAGCCACCTCCTCGTGGTGAGACCTGGTAATTGGTATCGTTTTCCAAAGAATAATTTTTGGAAAACGATACCAAGCTAAGAGCTACGCACAAAGTTTAATATATTTCCTATCTTTTGTAAATTTTCGATGTTTCAGTTAAACATTTGACGATTTTTGTGGCTGCGAGAGGTAAGTGGACGGAATTTCATTGGCAATGACGTCATTCAAATACACTTATAATTCATAAAAATGTATAAATAATCCAATATCTTATTAATAATAAATTGTCCATAGCGTAAATTTATAATACAAGAAAAGAATTAATTCACTGGTTATTACTTGAACAATATCATGCTAATGTTTAAAAGTACCTATAATTTGCAAAAGTGTAAAAATTATTAAACTTATTTCTAATAACAAATTGGTCACAACGTAAATTTATAATACAAGTGGAAAAGTTACTAAATTATAGGCTATTACTAGTATACATAACGTATTTGCGTGAAAATGTATCTATAATTAGCAAAAAGTTAATAAATTACTACATTTATTGTTAATAACAAATATTTTGCAACGTATATTAACGATAAAAGTAAAAAAAGTTAATAAATTATTAGCTATTACTTAAACAAACTACGTATTTGTGTTGAAATATATTCGTAACTTACAAGAAGCTAATAAATTAGTAAATTTATTGCTAACAGCAAATTAAAATTGTTGATGAGAAATAGTTTGTAACGTATATTAACGATAAAAGTCAAAAAAGTTAATAAACTATTAGCTACTACTTAAACAAACAACGTATTTGTATTAAACTGTATTCGTAACTTACAAAAAGATAATAAATTAATAAATTTATTGTTAATAACAAATTAAAATCGTTGGTAACAAATAGTTTGCAACGTATATTAACGATAAAAGTCAAAAAAGTTGATAAATTATTAGTTATTACAGCGGAAAGGTAACTTTTAAAGGAATCGG